AGACGGGGCCAGGAGGGATGTTGTCAACTGCCAAGTTTAGGACCACAGGGTGAGGCCAGGGAGGGTTGGATGCGGTGTTATCAAGGCCAAGGAACCGGGGCTGTCACAGTCTGGGTAAGAACCACCAGACTGAGACATGGGGCAGGGGGGAGGGGGGAAGGGGGAGGAAGGGGGAGTGGAGGGGACGGGCGGGAGTGGTCAGGATGGGGCTCGAAGCTGCAGGGCGCGGCCAGGGCACGGTGATTTCATTACCAGGGATGGACAGCTGGAACCGAAGGGGTGCGAGGGCCACAAAACGAGTAGAGCGGCGGGGCGGCCTCACCTGTGCCACACGGATGAACTTGTCCAGCACCTGTGCGCGCTGTGTGGGCCCGGGGCGGCTCAGCACCATGACCTGCACCCAGCGGGACACGCTGTTGCTGAGACCTACGGATACCTCTAGGGCCGGGCAGCCCCGCACAGAGCCCTGTAAAACGTAGTCTCGCAGGTCCTGGGGCTGCGGATGAATGAGCATCAGGTGGGCCGTGGCATTCCGGCCCTGCCCCTCACAGCCCATCCCTCTAGCAGTCTTGACCTCCTAAGCCCTAGCCTAGCTGTCATGTCCCTGATGTCACCATGGCTCTTTCCCATCTGAGGAGAAATGTTTATTTATTCATTATTTTTTAATAATTCTCACTTGAGAATATGTTTACTGATTTTAGAGAGAGGAAGGGAGACACAGAGAGAAACATCAGTGGTTGCCTCCCATACTCACTCTGACCAAGCATCCAACCTCAGCCTAGGTATGTGCCCTGACTGATAATCAATGTCACAGCCAAGGGAGCCACACTAGCCAGGGCCAGAGAAATGTTTACAAAAAGCCAGGCACTCTTTTGAAGCTTTTGTCATGTTAACTGATTTAACCCTCACATTGACTCTATGAAGTGACTACTATATTATTCCCATCTTAGAGATGAGGCCAAGAAGGTTCAGAGAGGATAAGTAATTTGTCCAGGATCACATATGCTTGAGTCAGGGTGGGAACCAGTCTGTTGCTCTTAACTGTTTACCTGTCTGGTATACAGTCAGCAAAGGAAAGAATGACAAAGAGGACAATAAATCAATTTCTATTTGTTCTGCTCAGGGGTCAACAGTCCATATCCACATACACTGTGCTGCATGTGTATGTAGGCGTGCGTGTGCGTGTGCACAAGTGTGTGTGTGTGTGTGTGTGTGTGTGTGTGTGTAATCATAAAATGTTCACATTAAAAAACCAGAGCCCAGCCGAAAACCAGTTTGGTTCAGTGGATAGAGCGTCAGCCTGCAGACTGAAAGGTCCCAGGTTCAATTCCAGTCAAGGGCATGTACCTTGGTTGGGGGCACATCCCCAGTGGGTGGTGTGCAGGAGGCAGCTGATAGATGTTTCTCTCTCATTGATGTTTCTGGCTCTCTATCTCTCTCCCTTCCCCTCTGTATAAAATCAATTAAAAATATATATATTTAAAAAAGAACACACCAAAAACCAGAGCCCATCAGGATGATCACTTTATAAGGTATGTAAATATCTAATCACTATGTTGGACACCTGAAACATAAGTATGTTAACTGTAATTTAAAAATAAATTTAACAAAAAAATATAAGACAAACATAACAAAAAACTAGATCCCCACCTTCCCTTGAAATTTTGATGGCAATAATGAGCACTTACTAGATTGAAACATGACATTACCATTTGGGTAGGTAAAATATGATAGGATTTACTCTGAACCAGGCACAGATCCTATCTTTAGCACTAACTATGTGCCAGGCATTGGGACAAGCATTTTCAAATGGACATATTAATTTAACTCTCCCAACAATCCAATGAAGTAATATGACCTGCATTAAAAACACTGAGTCCCAGAGGGGACTAGTTCAAAGTTACACAGGTAACAAGGGGCTGATCGATTTGAACCCCAGGGACTCTGTGCTCGGCCAGCTTAACTCATTTTTCTGGCCCTTCCAGCACCAAGTTTGAGAGTGAGATCCCTGCCCAGAGTCCAGGCCAGGGTGGGAAGTGTCCTCTTACCTGGCCCTAGCTGGAGGAAAGGGGGTTCTCACCTTGATAGCCTGAAAGGACCGGAACTCCAGGTAAGTGAGGTGCTGAGCCAGTTCCCCTGCCTCCAGGTGGTCGAAAAGCAAGGACACTTTGCACTTTTTGCCCAGGCCTGGGCTGCTCATGGAGGGTGGGGGGCCAGGGCCACCAGGGCTCAGACTGGGGGTAAAGAGGGGGAGGGTATTATAGGGGCTCGGGTGGAGGTATGGAGAGAGATGGCAGAGTGATGGGAGGGACAGAATGGGGAAGGGCTGACTCACAGGTTGGAGGAATCTCCCAGGCTCCTCTGGGCTGAGTTGCCTTCCTGCTCCACAGTGGCCCAGAAACGACCTATAACCTCTTCTAACTGGGGCTCATGGTGCACTGTCTCAGGGTGTTGGGTCAGCCAATATCTGAGGACGGTTTAGAGATGATGGGATGAGGCTGGATGGTGGGATGGTGGGGTGAGGGTAGGAAAGTTCTCTGAGAATCTCTAGGTGCTGGACTGGGGAATCTCTGTAAAGCCAGGGTTCAGAGAGGCACCAGGCTAGTGCAATCTCTGGGATTAGGATTGGGGGGGGGGGGGTCTCTTAGCACAGATTAGTGAATCAATAGGATATAGATTGGGGAGGATCTCTTGGAAGTGACATTGCTAGGTAGGACAGTGAGGAGGTTTTGGGTAAGATTTTGGGAGAGCAGGATGATGGGGGTCTTAGAAGCTAGGCTGGAGTATGTGGGAGGTAGGGGTTTGGGGATCAGAGCTAGAGGTGTCTGGGCACGAGCTGTGAGAGGGTCTATAGGATCTGGTTAGGGGTCTCTAAGAGGTGAGGATTCTAAAGAGTAGAACTGGGAGAATCTTATCAATCATACCAGGTATCTTAAAGTGGGATTCGGAGGAGCTGGATGGGTCTGTGGGGAATTGGGCTGGGAAGACTCTGGGAGGTGTTTTAGGCATCAGCAGGGTGAGGGTTTGGGGTCATGGGTATGGAGGTCTTGGCCCAGTCCTACCTGACCAAGTGACAGATCTGCAGCCGCCTCAGCTCCTGCGTGTTCCCTGTGGCCTCCTGATACTTGGGTTCTGGTTAAGGCTCTGATAGCCAGCATCCCAAACCTGCCTACTCACGTCTCTATCTCTCAGACTCACATCTCTGCCCTCTGCCCTCCACCACTGCTCACGGCCCTGGGAGGATATAAGGTCAGCAGACGGGCAGCAAGGTGGTCAGAAGGCAGCACCCAGCTGTGCATGGCCAGTACCATGTTGAGAATGTGGTCCCCACGGCGCAGGCTGCCAGCTGAGTCTGGGAACAGAAAGAGGGGACTCTGTGTCAGGATGGCCCCCAGGCAATGAACTGCAGTCTCCAGAGCCAGTTGGATCACCCGGTTCAAACCCCAGCTCTCCTCCTGACTCCTACATGAACTTGGGAGAACAACTTGGCCTACTTGAGCCTGTTTCCTGGTCTGCACTATGCATGAATCAGAACAGTGCCTGATGTTGAAGACAGAAATATCATGTTGAAGACAGAAATATCATCAGACTTCCTTCGACTCCACATCTCAGGAAAGAGAAACACAGGTGTCTCTCATATCTAATGCAGTGATTGCACTCACCTTATCTTATAACCCCCCCACCGCACCCCGCAAATGAGGCCTAGAGAGAGAACACTTGGCCCAACCTTAGTATTTGGGAGGCTTGGCCAGGGAGGGGGACACTCACCAAAGGACTGAATACATTTCTCCAGCAGCTCATCTTCGCTGCAGCCGCCCTCTTTCAGCATGTCCAGAGCCATGGAAGCCATGATCTTGCTGATTTCCCTGGGGCTGGGGCACGTCTTGTGGCGACGAGCCTGTCGGGGCCGGCCCCGCCCTCCTGTCTTTCCTGGGCATTCCTGGTGGGACTTCCTGTGGGCATTTCCCCCAGGGAATCATGGGAGCCCCTTTCATCAGACAGGCCCCCAGAATCCTTCTTGATCTTAACGCCCTAAAGGCAAAGCCTTAGGGTTACTCCTAATCTCCCATGAACTCATGGGAGAAAACCCCCAGAGTATTCCAGATCATGGGAGCCTTCTCCTACAAGTAAACTCCAAAGGTTACTCCCGTCTCCAGGGAATCAGGATAAGACCCTCAAAACTACCCTGAAACACCCCCCCCTCCCCCGAGAATCATGGGTGATGACCCTCGTAATCATAAGAAATTTCTCCAGGCATTGCCCCCAAATTCCCCTTGACTATACAGTCCCTAGGCATCATGGGAGATATTTCCTGTTGGCAGACCTCTGGAATTACTCCAGATCTTAAAGTGAAGACTACCAGAATCCTGTCTTCCCAGGGGAATCAGGAGATTCTGCCTTCAGGGAGACTCCACAGAATTCCCTTTTGTTCTCCAATGCTGTGCCTTCTTTTCCCAGCCCTCGTGAGAGCAGCAGACCCCTGAGATTCTATCTCCCTCTCCCCTACCTTAACCCCTCCATCAAGCCAGCCCTTCTGCAGGACTTGAGTCTTAGCCATTCACTTTAGTCCCTATATTTGGAGCCTAGGGAGAAAGTATGGGTGCTCTTCAGAAGGGGTGGGGTCCTTGGGGCTGAGACAGTTTCAAGGGAAGTTTAAAAATAACCCTCACTCTGCTTTGTGCCTCCTCAAGGCTGGAGGCTGGTGTTCCAGTTGGGGAAAGAGGTAATGGAGAGACTGGGATGGTGGAAGAAGCAGGAAGGAGAATCCAGGCAGAATAGCCTTGGCTTCCATAAGTTAAACAAAATGAGGTTTGAGAAATGTATGTTGGCCATGTGGCTATGTTAGTCACTTAATTTCTATGGGCCTCATATAAAAAAACAAGTCACCCTGAGATCTTCCCTAGGAATCTGCTTTGACCATTCAATGCCTAGCTCTTCAAAAGTGCTAAGCAAGCATGGCTGGTGTGGCTCAGTGGTTCAATTCCCAGCCAGGGCACATGCCTGGGTTGCAGGCTTGATCCTCAGTAGGGGCCATGCTGGCGGTAGCCAAGCAATGATTCTCATCATTGATGTTTCTCTCCCTTTCCTTCCTCTCTGAATATATATGTCATGCAGGCAGAAAATGAGGCAACTGATCTCAACCACTAAATTGCTAGATTTTATGGGGAAGGGACCCCTTTGTATATCAGAGACATGCTGGAGGAGCTGCCCAGGCTAGGAACCCAATTACAGGGCCTTGTGAGGACAAGAGGGCCAGCTTGCCCAGGCGATACACACAGGTGTCTCTCATATCTAATGCAGTGATTGCACTCACTCTCCAGCAGCTCAGCTTCGCTGCAGCCGCCCTCTTTCAGCATGTCCAGAGCCATGGAAGCCATGATCTTGCTGATTGGCAGCCAGCCAGCATCTGCTGCTACAGCCAGCTGCTAGACCCTTGCCTGCAGACTGACCCCTGTAGTTTCTGAAGCAACCAGGAGTGGTTTAAGAGGCAAGGGAATCCCTTTGCCCTGTGTCATATCCTCTCCCCCGGGCAGGGCCCTGCAGGAGCCTGGAGTTTCCAGGTCAGGGGGTCAGCAAGCGACTGTTATGGGGAACCAGGAAGACCCCAGGGAGGACAGAGTAAGAAAGATAGGATGAGGGTGGGGGTGGGGAGAAGGGGAAACAGAGCAGGTCCAGCTCCAGAGAGAGTGAGGACAAGACATAGAGCTCATACAAAGAGCCCCGGGCCTTGGCTGGCTCTGAACTCCCTAAAGCATCTTTCCCTCTGGGGCCCCCTGCTCCTGCCCTGCTCCCAGAGGAGCCCCACACCCTGCTAACTGGTTAGGGCCTCCCAGCCTTCCCACACAGCGGGCGGCCCAGGGGCTTTGGGCGCGCCCAGGTTCCTCGAGGGTCTCTCACCTCTTGCTGTCTTTCCTGTTCATGCTTCCTGGAGTGGGGCTGGAAGGGGTCTTGCAAGAGTCTGGCTCAGCTTCTCCTCTTTCACCAATGCTCCAGCTTCTTAGCCCTTTGGGAGCTGGGTCCTCCCCTAGTGCTGGGGAAGGAAAGAGGAACTGCCCCTCCCCACCCAGGCCCAGGCCAGGGGGAAGGAAGAGGCTGGGGAGAGACCAAAGGTTCCCCCTCCCCCCACATGGGGATCCCTACAAGCTGAGGTTTCCGGTGCTGCTGGACCCCACCCCCAATCACCAGTGGGCTTTCTATCTCCCTCATCTTTCTGTCTCTAGACCCGTGATTCTCTGTTCTGTCATTTTCATACTTCAATAAAAGCATTTATGTAAAATACACTCAAAATAAGAATTTATATTTCTATAAGGACATATTCATATAAAGAATGCACAAAGCATTAAATGGAAAGTTACAGACATAATATTTTGTATATTTCTTCTTAAGTTTCTTTTATTCCTAGTTTAGTCTTCACTTTATTACCTTCATTGTAACAAAGCTTTATATAGCGTAGTGTCTACTGTATACCACACACTGTTCTAAAGGCTTTAAAAATAGTAACTCATATTTATTTATTTATTTATTTATTTATTTATTTTTAAAATATTTTGTTGATTTTTTACAGAGAGGAAGGGAGAGGGAGAGAGAGTTAGAAACATCCATGAGAGAGAAACATCAGTCAGCTGCTTCCTGTACACTTTCTACTGGGGATGTGCCCGAAACCAAGTACATGCCCTAGACCAGAATCGAACCTGAGACCCTTGAGTCCACAGGCCGACGTTCCATTGATCCAAACCGGTTAGAGCTTGACATATTTTTTAATTGACATATAAATAAAGAGCACAAAACCTAAGTGTTCAGGCTGGTGAATTGTAACAATCACAGCAATCAAAAAATAACATTCCCATTCTCTACCAGCCCCCAGACCTCCTCCACAGGGCTACCTCCCAAAATTCAAACACTAGCCTGATTTCTAACAGAGTAGTTTTGCCCAGTTTTGAGCTATATATAAATGGAATGATTTATTGTGTTTGGCTTCTTTTATCTAACATCATGCTTTTGTGATTCTTCCATGTAATTATATTTGGTTAAAATTTATTCCTTATTTTTATATATTTTATTGATTTTGTACAGAGAGGAAGGGAGAGAGATAGAGAGTTAGAAACATTGATGAGAGAGAGTCATCAATCAGCTGCCTCTTGCACACCGCCTACTGGGGATATGCCCGCAACCAAGGTACATGCCCTTGACCGGAATCGAACCCGGGACCTTTCAGTCCCCAAGCCGACACTCTATCCATTGAGCCAAACCGGTCTCGGCTATTCCTTATTTTTAACCAAATGATTTTTTATTGTGTGACTATTCTATAAATGATCTATCAATTTTCCTGTGATGGGCATTTGAGTTTTCAGTTTGGGACTGTTGTGAATATTGCTGCTGTAAACATTCTCGTACCTGGCTTTTGATGAATATTAAAGCATATAATTCTGTAGGATACATACACATGACTAGAGTAAATGGGTCATAGTAATTAATATGTTTATGCAAAACCTAGTGTGTTAGTTATTCAATCAAAGGTCTCATAGAAACACACACACACACACACACACACACACACACACACACACGTATATACACAAGAGACCGGTTTGGCTCAATGGATAGAGCGTCGGCTTGGGGACTGAAGGGACCCGGGTTCGATTCAAGTCAAGGGCATGTACCTTGGTTGCGGGCATATCCCCAGTAGGCGGTGTGCAAGAGGCAGCTGATTGATGACTTTCTCTCAACGATGCTTCTAGCTTTCTATCTCTCTCCCTTCCTCTCTGTACAAAATCAATAAAATATATTTTAAAAATAAATAAATAAATAAATAATTTGTCTCTCAAAAGAAATTTCAATCGTTGTACTGTTGATATTTGGCTCTGTTAACTAATGAGTTTGCCAACCACTGCTCTAACCAACTGAGCTACCCTGCCAGGGCTATCGTGGTTGGGTCTTCAACACAAGGATGACTGAAAAAAAAAAGAATTATTAATATCTCATGATATAATGTAAAATGACAGAATAATTTTATATTAAATATAAAATTCTAAGGAAAAACTTACAATTTAATACATAAAACTTACATGTATATTATATAATGTATATGTAAACACATAACTGTATTGTACTATATAATTACATAAGCCTAAATATATAATTATCCATTTTATAATTCAACAATATGATACAAACATATGTTATATATTACAATTGTATCACTATACCAATATTTTAACTATGTTACTCCTAGCAACCTATTTAACACTAGATCCAAGTGCACAAATTCATGCAGCAGTAGGGTCCCTTGGTCTGGCTTGCCGGATCTGGCCAAATCCAGTTCTCCCATATCCCCCAAGGGGTTCCAGATTACAAGAGGGTGCAGGCCAGGCTGAGGGAACCCAGCAGCAAGAGTACACGTTCATGGTAAAGAAGGGACCATCTTTTCTTCCATTTCAAGAGAGCAAACTGAGACTGAACGGGGAGCTTGAGGGACCCCCAGGAGGCTCTCAAAGGCTGCCCCTGGTGGTCAGTGCATGTCATAACACGTGGTTAAGCAGCCTTAGCATATCATTAGCATATTATGCTTTGATTGGTTGAATGGATGAACGGACGACTGGACACTTAGCATATTAGTCTTTAATTATGTAGGATTTTATGTATAGTTTTATTTAACTGTAAAATATTGTTTTATGTAACTTAATATATACCATTACATTTTTTTTGTTTTTGTTTTTGTTTTTGTTTTGTTTTGTTTTTTGTTTTTTGGGTTTTTTTGTTTTTTTCCTCCCTCCCTGCCCTCCTCGCTCCCTCCTTGGCCTCGCCCGGCCCGAGTGCAATACCATTACATTTTAACAATGATAATAATTTTAATAGATCCCTGTATCAATCAGTGACCATGTTGGTTTCCTCATCAAAATTTCCCCAAGTCCCCATTAGATAGAAACTATTCTAAATTAACCCAATTGCCAGATGAGGAAACTGAGACCCAGAGGCATGAAGTTGCCTGTCTGGCAGGAGGCCCAAGTAGATGAGGCTTCTGTGTTGGGCCTCCAAGTCCCACAGCTGCATGTGTTTTTTTTTTTTAGAAAATATGTTTTTAGCCTTGGCCGGTTTGGCTCAGTGGATAGAGCGTCAGCCTGAGGACTGAAGAGTCCCGGGTTCGATTCCGGTTGGGGACATGTATGTCAGTTGTGGGCACATCCCCAGTAGGGAGTATGCAGGGGGTAGCTGATATGTTTCTCATTGATGCTTCTAACTCTATCCCTCTCCTTTCCTCCCTGTAAAAAAAATCAATAAAATATATTTTTTAAAAAGAAATAAAAAACATGTTTTTATTAATTTTTTTAGAGAGAGAGGAAGAGAGAGGGAGAGAGATAAACATTGATGAGAGAGAAACATCAATGGCTGTCTCCTCCATGCTCCCTCCTGGGGATGGAGCCCACAACCCCGGCATGTGCCCTGACTGGAAATCGAACCAGCAACCTCTTAGTACATGGACATTGCTCAACTCACTGAGCCGCACAGGCAAGCACCATAGCTGCCTGTTGAGGAAAGTGTAGAGGCCCTCCACACCTGCTCTCAAGAAGAAGCTGGTTACTGCTCTCAGGTCTCCTATTTAGAAAGCCCAGAGTGCTCAACTTGCATTAAGCAGTGGCCCAGCTAGTCAGGTGTCCTCAGCGGCTCAGGTGACCCTTGCAGAGAGGGAGGGTTAGAACTCTGGACATGGGGAAGTGGGTTTTGTTATAATTGGAATATTTTATGCAAATATTGAAACAATAAAGCAGAATGGTTAAGAATCCTGGCTTTGCCGAGGCCAGTTTGGCTCAGTGAATAGAGTGCCGGTCTGCAGACTGAAGGGTCCCGGGTTCGATTTCGGTCAAGGGCATGTACCTTGGTTGCGGGCATATCCCCGGTGGGGGTGGTGCAAGAGGTAGCTGATCGATGACTCTCTCTCATCGATGTTTCTAACTCTCTATCCCTCTCTCTTCCTCTCTGTAAAAAATCAACAAAATATATATTTAAAAAAAAAAAAAAAAAAAAAAAAAGAATCCTGGCTTTGAATGGTTAAGAATCCTGGCTTTTTTCCTAGCCATTTTGGCTCAGTGGATAGAGTGCTGGCCTGTGGACTAAAGGGTCCCAGGTTCAGTTCCATCAAGGGCACATATCTTGGTTGCAACCCCCATCCCTGGCCCTGGTCGGGGCACCACTGTGGGAAGTAACCAATAGATGTGTCTCTCTCACATCTATTTTCTCTCTTTCTCTGTCTCTTCCTCTCACTTCCACTCTCAAAAAATCAATGGAAAAATATCTTCAGGTGAAGATTAAAAATAAAATTCTGGTTTTGGGTTCAAATCCCAGTCTCAGTCTCTGTGTGACCTGGGACAAGTCACTCCACTTCTCTGTGCTCAACTTTCCTTATCTGTAAAATGGGCACCGTAAGTGTATGGCTTCACCATACTGTTGTGAGAACTACATCATTTTATTTGAGTCCTTAAAAGTATACCTGGTAAGGACCACACAGTTTAATTTCCTCCTCTAAACCATGTGAACAATAGCAGGATTGTTGTGAAACTAAATGAGATGCATAAAAAGACCTAAGCCCAGGGCCTCGAATGCAGCATGTACACAGAAGACTTCTGCTATGGCTATTGTTCCTGCCTCATCAGTTTTGTTTGTTTGTTTGTTTGTTTGTTTGTTTTAAATATATATTTTATTGATTTTACACAGAGAGGAATTGAGAGGGATAGAGAGTTAGAAATGTCGATGAGAGAGAAACATGGACCAGCTGCCTCTTGCACACCCCCTACTGGGAATGTGCCCGCAACCAAGGTACGTGCCCTTGACCGGAATCGAACCCGGGACCTTTCAGTCCACAGGCCGACGCTCTATCCACTGAGCCAAACCGGTTTCGGCCTCATCAGTTTTTATAATAATAATGGTGATAATAATAATAGCAGCACTTATATAATCTTTACATTGGTTCTCTTTTAAGTGCTGTAAATAAATGATCTCATTTAATCCTTGCAACAGCCCTGTGAGATAAGTACCATTAATATCCTTCTTTCCAGTTGGGGAATCTCAGGCACGGGAGGTGAAGTGACTTGTCCAAGGTCACACAGGGGAGTCACAAGGCTGGCTCAGAGTCCCTGCTTTCAGTCACTGAGTGTGCAGCGCCCTGAAGTCCGGAGGCCTCGTGCGCATCAGCCTCTGCAGTGCGGCGCCACCAGCGGCTCCCGTTCCGCCTCAGCTTGCTCCCGGTGAAACGGGAGAGAGATGGTCCCTTCCTCACCCCGAATGTGTGCGGAGAGCAGCTGCCTTCTGGACACTCCCCTGGCGCCTCTCCCACCAGCGCGGGCCGGGCCGCGGGCCTGTGGGCGGGGCGGGGCGAAGGGGCGGGTCTAACGGGAGCCCGGGGGCGGGGACCTCCTTCCAGCTCCGCCGGCGCGCGGTCCTCCTCGCAGTTCCATCTGCCTCGCGGGTTCCTCCGGTGTCCCCGGAGGTCTCCGACCCAGCCCGCCCGCAGCCCGCCCAGCC